CAAAATTCTAATTGATAGAGGATATAGCCGTGATAGACTGATTAAAGGCATTAAACGTTGTCTGAGGAAATATGATAACGTTTTCAGGAAGTTCGGTATTCTAGATGACCGTAACATTATTAAAGAACTCCCCTGATATCTTTTGATTTATTGAAACACGGGTACTAACTCTGCTAAACTGAACAAATTCTGAATCTTAGGTGAATAAGTGTACAACGTGCTAAACCGAAGTTCAGACTGACCAGTGAAAATGGGCGAGCGTACCAAGTGTCATTTTAATTAGAAGTTTTAGTCAGTGATTTATTATTGAAGCTTGTAATTACAATATCTAATGCTCCTATAAATACTTCAATTAATTGTTTGTCCCGTTATTCTTTTTCCTTCCTCTTTTCCTTGTCATCCCCTTTAGTTTTAAGATTCTTGCTATAAATGGCTACAGCTAACACTATTAATGCTAAGTACCAAACAACAAGTGGGAGGTGGATCGTTGGTACCATTAAATCGATTTAACACCGCAATTCCGGTCGCAAGCCTGGGACCACTACTAGCATAGTCACAACATCTACAAAGCTGCCATATAGCCTGACTGACAATTTTCTCGACTGACTGACAATGTTTCTTCTTTTTCCCCATTTAGAATACAAAGATTAGTACATTTTAGCTTATGATTAATATTATATTTTTACCTATAGTTTACTTAGATTAAGAATACATTCTAGTTAATTTTAAGCAGAATGTTTAAGATAGATCTTAGAATGAAACAAAAAAGCCCTTTTCAGACAAAACTTAGTAGCTGTACTATTCTAAGCAATGTTATTCTGACATTTGGAAATATTTCCTTCCGTTTGAACATAGACTATATTGCTTAGGATACAATGATATTCTTAATAATCACTGCAATTCTGTAAAAGCCATACAACAATTCTTCTGTTCAGTAAAGCAATTCTTCAAAAATATAACAAAAGGATACGGCACCGGGAATTTCCAGGCGGTCACCCATCCAAGTACTAACCCGGCTTGCATTTGCTTGACTTCCCAGATCGAACGAGATGGGGTGTATTCAGCCGAGTATGGCCGTGTACAGTGATGTTGAATTTTGCTTCTCTATATCTTCTCACACAAATTCTTACACTCACACCAACCCTGTATGTGGTTCATTGATTAGTTATTATAAGAACAAGTTGTTAGAATACATTAAATTCCTTTGACAGATAACAATACAATATTTTCCTTATCTTCTAATTAAACTTCGTGATAAGTAAACTGTTAACTTCATGCCAACTCTATATTATACTTCACACTGCACACGGTACACACTACATAGTTAATGGTTGCCTTGTTGTGGAATGTTATTAAAGTATTAATCACCATCAAAAATGTGACTGCTCTGATATTGTTGTGTGTCTGTTCATAGTAGCTAGATCAGCTGGGTGCGCTGATCTGTGATCTCGGCGCGCTCAAAAAAGCAAATTGGGGACACGTTTTTGTTGTTTTTTATAGTCGCGAGTTAATTTTACTTTTGAAAACTTTTTACGAGGTGTTAGAAGCCACCTTAAGGTCTAAAGAGATGAAATCTTGACTAGCACCTACCTGAAAGGCTTTTATCCAACGGGTTTTTCTCAGATTTTTGATATCTCACTTCCTTTTTCCACAGGTGACCGAAACGTACACGTCATTCTGGACTGCATGCGACTACTCTCGTTACTGAAAGAGATGCTGTGCGACACACGATTATCCTAGGATGATGAGAGTTAGTTTTTGGGAAAGCCCTAACGATGCTTAAAACGATAGGGGCTGAAAATATTATCAACTATTGAAAACGTGTCCCCAGGACTTCGTTGAAGTCGCGAGATTCGATACCCGTAAAATAATGTAGCCAACTACTAGCAAAAACGTGTCCCCACGCGCCAGGGTTGTATAATATATATAAGAGAAACATGAGCATTCACATTTTAGAAGTAGAACCATAAACCGTGCAGCTCAAGCTAGGCATGGTAAAGCTAGCTTGTGCTTTATATAACCGTAATACTAATAGTAATACTAATAGGAGCTAGTCATTTTATTGTTTATTGTGCTGCCAGTTGATGTTACGCGCGATATAATACATTTTTGTCGATTTTGTTTTCGGCTATTTGAGATGCACTCATGCGACATGCAGTAGATGTTTTCTTTTCAAAATTGTAAGCGAATGTCGCCCCACTCCCAGTTCAGACTTGACTTAACTGTTAACGGGTGATACTCGTAAAATATTTGTTTCAAATATTAAGACCGTCAACGAGTCCAACTCGAACCGTCTGCAATTAACAAGTCCAACTCGGCGCGCGTCCTGGTAGGTTATTAACCTACAAGACTTGACACACGCTGAAAGCAGACCGCGGCTGGAGTGCACGCTTCGAATGCACGAGAGAGGTATATACAACGTGTAGCAAGATCAGACACAAAATGTGAAATGGCGCAAAAGTTATATAAGCTGCTCCGTATGCGCAAATGTTACAATTTTGCAAAAACATCTTATAAATTACATGTTGATTGACGATGTCAACCCATCGAAATCGTTGCTCTGCAAGGGCAAGGCAAAGCAACGATCGACGATGCGAAGCTAAGCAAGAATGCTAGTTTGCGCGGCGCGTCGAAGCGGCGAAGTCCTTTAACATTCAAATTACATGCTGATGCAGTCTGATGAGATTTTTTGCGTTACTGGGCCAATTGTAGGTTTACAACCTACCAAGACGCGCGCCGAGTTGGACTCGTCCGCGACGGTCCTAATATATGGAACAGATATTTCACGAGTATTACCCGTTAATATTGGGCCGCGATCTGCCTGTCATTCCGCCTAAACATGATAGCCTGAGGTCCCCAGGTAAATTTTTGCAACATTTGCTTACAATCCTGAAAAATAAACCGGGCCGGGGCGAAATGTTTACAATTTTGCTAAAACACCAGCATGCACATGCCTCAGCTCCTCGCTGTAGCGGCTGCACTAGCTACATGCAAAGTAAAGTGTTACTACGCGCGGAGGGGGCATCGTGTATCGTGAACCATGCGATGCGAATTGCGAGGTTCACAGTTGATAGAATCAGACCGCACTACTGGCTAACAACATGCGCGCCCGCACGCCCAAAACACAAATGACAAACGTAACTTAATCATTAATATAATAATAAAAGTGTACAGTTTTACTATTAGTACAGTTTTACTATATATAACCTCTAGTTTCGCGCGCGCACTCATCTATTTTTGAACAGCTTTAATAGCTTATTGTGTTAAAATCATGTAACTACATATGAACTAAATGAAAGTTGAGACCGAGCTAACAGGTAAAACCGAGCTAATAGCAGTTAACAGTACGTACGTGCGCGGCTTTACCTGTAGTCTACAAGTGAAACCGCGCACTGGTAATGACTATTAACTCAGTTTCACCTATTATATTATATTACATATTAGCTCGATCATTCATTTAACCATGTGCGTTCGCACCACTGCGGGCGCGCTTGTTTACCGCCGGGAGGCGGGCGCCGCGCGTCCCACTACAAGTGCAAGGGCTCTGGACAGATCAAGCAAGCTCGGTCATACCTGGGGACCTCAGGCTATCATGTTCATAAACATAAAGAATAGAGATTAGCTGTGGAATGACAGGCTGAGCGCGGCCCAGTAAGCTTGGTTTCACCTATATTAGCTAATGCATCTTCAGCTTCATGACAGTTAAATTAGTGCAGTGCAGTTAAACATGAAAGTAGTATAAAAAGTTTGCTTTTCAATTTCATGCTGCTCACCTTAAATTAAAATTAAATAAACTAAATTAATGCTGAGCAGGGTATAAATAGCGAGCCAAACTTAATTTTCCAGCTCCTAAAATTTTTTAATTATTCAAACAAGCAGGGTTTATATTTTACCTGGCACGTCACTCCCTTTCATGCGCGGTGGAGCGCTCTTCCCACTTTTTGCATGTGCACATGCATATCGATCGTGATGAGAGAAGCGAGCCATAAACTAACAACTGGCAAGCTAGTTAATGCATATTCTTTCTTTGTTAATTATAGTTTATTTATTTATAAATTTTATTTTATTTATAGATTTAATTTGTTGTACGCAGTGTGTAATGCAACTTAATGCGTGCAAAAAACAATTACTTATAAAATCTTTTAAAATTAAAAATGTATTTGATAAAATTGAAAGTGACATCAATATTTTGTGAATCCAAGTCCAAAGTTGTATTGCAAGTGGTCAAGCACAAAGAATTTAGCTAAATATTGATTTAAAAAAAGGGTAAAGGGACTCTCTATCTTTTGTACAGTGAATCTTAACTTGGTAAATATTTCGAAACATTTTAGAAGTCAGTGGTGCTATAAATCTTTAGCTCAATGGACAGTAAATTTTCATTTTTGAAAAAATCCATTCAAAGAAGAATACAGAATATTTGATGATATTCAATAGTATTAACAATAGTTAATAGTATTATGTTTACAGTATGCACTGAAGGGGTATCCTAGGAAGTTTCTTGAACTTTTAACAGGTACCCCTCCTCATTTAACCCAAAATTAAGTTTCCTATCATTCGGCTGAGTCAACCAAGGAGAAGATGTGCCATTGATTCCTGATGTTAGCTAAGGACATCATTAGGATTATGCGACCATGAATTGAGTGATTATTGAATGATGAGAGCCGGGCAGGGGGGTGGGAGGGGGGACAGTGGCGTAACAAAGGGCATGCGCAGTTTTGCTAGTACTACCTCAGTTTTTCAAAATTATCCCTCATTCAAATGGCAACTTGGCACCCCCTAAGATGGTGCCACCTCTGCTGACAGCAGGGTCAGCAGGGCCCTTTGATATGCCACTAAACATGGACATTGGACAAGCACTTTGCATTGAGGTTGTAAGGTTATTTCATTGGAATATTTACTGGGTAAATTTTCTAAGTTGTTGGTTGTTGTAAACAACCATCGTACGTTCAAAATTCGCCATCAAACTGTAAAAAATATAATCACAGCTGAATATAATTTAGGTTGAGACTGAAAAGTCTCATATGTCTGTAGCCAGAATTGTACTGAGAACAGGCTACAAAGACATCCAATACCAGCCTCTCCCCAAGGAAATCGAGGACGCTGACGACGTTGAATCGCCAGTTTCAGTTGGAGGTTGTAATTTGGACATTGCCACTACGCCTACTTCCAGCGGCCATGAGCAGCAGCGGCTGTTAACTGACGATGGAGAAGCAAACATTCCCTTACAGACAGATGATCCTGAATTTAATGAACTCATTGTCGAGGTTTGTGTCCTATACATCTTGAAAATTAGGGCATGTTCACATATTAATACTAAATCACTGAGGTGCAGTGGAGGGAGGAGGTTTCTAAATGATTACTCTGCTGTCATTTTAACACAATAGCTATGTGTAAAACTGATAACGGAATTAGGAGCGGGTTAAACATTGTCCAAAAATGTATTATGTAACAATGAAACAAGAAATTTCAATGAAGTACAAGAAATTTAATTTTAGCACATTTTACAGAATAAAAGATGTAAAACAATTCATAAAATATAATGCCCATTTGGTGTATGACTTTTTGTCCTTGACTGCTTGTTTGGTTTTGGAAGGACAGGTTACTAACGGGGCAAGGAATGCGCGTGCCTGGGAGCTTTTGCACACACCAAAACGCTAGTTCAGTTAAGTTTTTAGAGACAAGGCTCAAATTAGGACTATAAGAAAAATTGTTAGCAGACATTGCATTAGGGGTTCTGTTTAAAGTTTTTACTATCTAGGTTGCAGTCTTGTTGTGACAAAAAGTCTACACTAAAACATGTTTGATTTTATATTGTGTAGTTCAAGGATTAAAAATGCACCTTCAAGGTGGATATTGGAGAGCAGGCGAAAGATTATGGCTTAAATTTATCAATGGTTATAATAAGCTATAAATATTTTAAACTATACAATGCTAATTAAAAATTTCTTTATACTTCATTCTCAAATTAAAATTCAAAAATTCAAAAATAACATGTGGACAAACCCTTATAATGTATTATTGTATTATTTCACAAACGTCAACATGTTGATTTTCAATGTTTTTAAAATCATTATTTTGTGTCCTCAAGATTTACTACATAGGCTGTGAGTTCTAAATCTAATCCAATTTTTATCTTACGATATTAATATTCCTGCAGTCAGAAAGAGCTATAGATGAAGGAATTCTACCAGACAGAATATACCAAGGAAGCAGTGGCAGTTATTTTGTAAAGGACCGAGATCGCAAAACTGTTGGTGTTTTTAAGCCAAAAAATGAGGAACCTTACGGACATTTAAACCCTAAGTGGACAAAATGGATGCACAAGGTATAGAAATATTCATGGGACATTTCAACGGGTTGATTATTTAATGCTTTCTTCCCAAATCATAACAACATTTGCCTTAGAAACTAAGTATGAAGCTGGTTCAGACTTTTTGACAGATCAATTGGGGTATTTAACTTTCAGTTGTAATTGTGATCAGGAAACTTGGTGCACTTTTAAACATATCTTCAAATTTCAGATGTGTTGCCCATGTTGTTTTGGCAGATCTTGTCTTATTCCCAATCAAGGGTACATGTCAGAGGCTGGTGCCAGTTTGGTTGACTCCAAGTTCGGACTTGGTGTCGTTCCTAAAACAAAGGTTTGTTGTTATCATGAGTGTATGTATACACTCATTGTAATTAACACTTGTTGTAATTAACACTTGTTGTAATTAACGCTTGTTATAATTCCCGTTCAACAGTACACTTTGTACACGTATTGATATCATGATTATGATGTAGAATGTAGATGTAGAAAATATTTGTTTCCTAAGTTAATTTGGATAAATATTTATGATGAGTATTTTTGTGAATCATATAAAATGCTCCACTCGATTTGCTCCACTCGATTTGCAATAATACACTACTGCATATACTCTTAGGTAATAATGAGACAGTATCTATATCAGTATATCAATGATCATTTAAATTGGTCGTTAGTCAATGTATTATAGAATGTTATGATATTTTCTCTATTTCCATTGTTTAGTATTTATCGATGCTTTTAAATTGTATACAGTAAATTAAATTGCTATGCTTTTATTTCTGTTTAGATATTGACTACTTAGTGTATGATTTGTTTTGCGATCAATCATTAAAAAACTGGATTACTTTAATATGCATTATGCAATTCCTTATTCTGGATTAAGATTAATATCAACAAATAAACGTAAACTGTTTGCTCTTGATGTGGTAATGTATTGTATACATCAATCATGTAAATCATAATATGTGGTCATCTGCGCACTTTATAACAAGCAAATGATTACTTAAGCGGTAAGCCAGAATGATGATTCATACCAATGATATTGCATTAAATTAAAGTAGATAGAGCAATATATAACTCTAGTATTGTTCAGGTAGTTGCACTGGCAAGCGAGACCTTCAACTACACTCCTATTGACAAAGCTAAAGCTAAGTCTGTGAAGTTTGCTACAGAACGGTTCCCTGATACGCTTGGTAAAAACATGAAAGCTGGCCTCCCGCCTAAGGTAAGATAATGGGTGCTTATTTTTCTGTTTCATTTCCAGTTTCGTGTTGTAAATTCAGCTGTATCCTGTTTAGGCAAAATTCCATTAACAGGTTTTTATCAATTTCCATAAAGTATGAAGCGGTAGAATATTTAGAACCACTTGCACTCCAGTGCCGGTTCTTATCATTCTGAAATACAATACACAGATAACGTAATATTGCACGCTGAAAGCATTAAGCAGAATATGACCCCTTATCTGCATATCTTAGAGAATTGCTGCCAAAAATAGCTGCTATACATTCACTTTTTAAATGATATTCTATAGAATATACCTTTCTCTGTACTGTAGGATCTTGCTTACTTATCAA